AACGAGTGAAGCTGCTGCCAAGGAAAGAGTGTACAAGAAGCAGAACTGAGCAGTAGGCGGTTTTGAAGGCGGCGACCTCGGGCTGATGTAATGATGATGACGGGGGGGCCGGGGGGAAAGGCGGGGGAAAGGTCGGGGGGGAGGGCAGGGGAGGAGGTGTTACATCACACGACTTTTCAGGAACGTACCGATCGGCGGTGATGCAGATTCCGGGTGATATGCCATATCCATAATGCAACAGGAGGGGGGAGGAGGAGGGGTCGGTCAAGTGACGTTGGATGTGCGGAGGTGGAGGTGGAGGTGGTTCGGTCGGTTTATGTGGGTGTGGGTGCGTCTGATGGCTTGGGGTTGTTGGGTGGCTGGGGGGGAGTTTGGAGACGCTTTTGTGTGCGATGAGTTCCGCTGGTGAGGAGCTGCTCAGGTGCGTCCCCGACGTCTCAAAATGAATGTATGTATGTATGTGTGTGTGTGCTTTGGCGCAGATGCTGGATATGGATGAGAAGCGGCGGATCACAGTGCCCGACATCCGGAAGCATGCGTGGTATGCGATGGAGCTACCGCCGTACTTGGACGAGGCGTTTCAGGTGGGACGACGTGGCGTGTGTGGGCGCACCCACATACCTTTAGATGCTTTGTGTTGTTACCGTGTTGTTGCTGTGTTGATTACAGCCAACTTTAAAATTTTGTTATTTGTTGAGTTTTTATGCCAAAATCCTTTTCAACGGTTTTGTAACCGCTTCTCTTGTACGACATGTCAACCGCATGTACGATACAGGATTTTGAGGAGCGCCAGGGGCGATTGGCCAGGGTGATGGAGGCAGCGACGGAGGCGCAGGTGGGGGGGTGGCAATGGCGGTTTCATGCTGTGTTTTGTATTCGAGCTTTTTGAGCTTCATAAGTTTTTTCCCTCCTGCCATCTTCATACACCCAGACGGCACATCTTAACCCCGCATGCCGCCTTTGTCGGTGATTACATATCCAGTGTAACATAACCCCACCCCACCAAACCATGGGTATTTGGTGTTCTTGCACGGTGCACGAACGAAGCTGTGCTATTTATTTTAGAGCTTTTAAAGATACACTGGGTCCTGCGGCGGTAGCTGTCGACTTGTCAGTTAACTAATTGGTTCCGGAGACGACATCAGTCTCGCCGGGACATCGTACAACTAAACTTATTGTTATATTGTTTGTTTATTATTATTATTATTTAAATTATTATTATTATTATTATTATCATTATTATTATTATTATTATTATTGTTATTATTCGCCAGTGGTTCGTCTTACCCACCCACCCACCCACCCCGCGCCTTCCATTCCAAACCCCCCGTGTTGACACCGCGGGGGGCTCACTAGATCAAGCGCCGTGACAAGGCCGTACACGATTTAATTGTGCTGGCCGGCCAGCCGTACAATACCGAGCCGGTCAGCAAGCGCGCCGTATCCGGCCCCATCTCCGCCATCTTCGAGGTGCCCTCCATCAAGGAGTGTGAGACCGCATCGGCTACCTCAGCAGGCGGCAACAATCACTCGGCCGCACTCAGTCCCGCGACTTCCCCTGCCCGCAACGGCGGCTGCGACGGCGGCGGCGGTGGTACGGCAGTAGCAACATTACAACACGGGCATCAGGGTGAGAAGCAAAAAGGGCAGGTGCCGCCGCCGCCGCCGCAGCAGCAGCAGCAGCAGCAGCAGCCTACGGATGGAGGAGATGGGTTTATGGCGGCGGTGAATCCGCCGCCGCCGCTGTCGCCGCCGCCGCCACTCCCTTCGACACCTCTCCAGCAGGCTCTGAGCTCCTGTCTTATTGACGGCGGCGGCAAGGTTCTCACCGCGGAGTGCACTCAGAGCGAGCCCGAGGTTATCATGATTGAGCTGGCGGCCGTAGCGAAGAGGACCAAGGCAAGTGGTAGCTTGGTCGGGTAGCTTTCATGCGGGGCCTCCTCCGTTATTACACTGTCATATGACTGATATAAAAAAAGACCTGCAAAGTGCGGAAAGATAGGCAAAGGAAGGAAAGGGTAGGGCTCGGTGCGGGGGGGGGGGGCTATACCTACACTATACCCCGAAGCAGCAAACCAAGGCCACTTACTTTGACACAAACCAACCTGTACTACGCTTCAGGACGACAGTACCTACATCAGTACCAACGAACCGCTTCTTGTCAGGCTGCAGTACCCCTTAATACCCAGTACCTACAGCTCTACAAACATGTACCCGGAAAAAATTTTAGTTGACCAGCATCGTCGCGGGACACACAGCGACACATCCCGGAGGCACACCATCATGCCGTACAATTTCCACCGTGCCGAATTTACAGAAAGCCTTGGTTTCCTAACGTTCCACTCCGCTAGAACTAGTACCAGTGTGATTATAGACGTTGCTATGAGCGTTTTTAGAACACCAGCAACACCAGCAGCAGCACCAGCAGCAGACGAAAAGTAACCCTGAGGAAGGCGCCAAGTAAGGGGATCGGATCCCTTCAAACACTTTTCTTGCCGTATCGCCGTACAAGAATGGCTTATGTGTGGTGGTTGTCTTTGCGCAGAGTGACGGCCTTGTCCTCATGGCAGCCTTCGAGCCCGAGACGCTCGCGGGAGCCGGCAGCGGCGGTGGCGGTGGCGGGGCCTGCGGCAACTGCCGCTGCGACAGTGAGTCGTCCACGGAAAATGCCGTGGAAAGCAGCAGCGCCGGCAGCGGCGGCGGCAGCGATGCCGCTGCTGGGGAGAAGGTTCGGGCTGCTACTGCCGTTGTGGCAGCAGCAGCAGCGGCGGCGGCGGCGGCGGCGGCAGTGACCGCGGCTGCTGTTACGTCCGGTGGGGAACCTGTCCTTGCGCCGTCAGCGGCGGCGGCAGCGGCGGCGGCGGCGGCGGCTTCCAGCACTCTTTCGGGGGGAAAGGAGGAGGTTGAGGCGGCAGCCGTCGCTGCTGCTGATGTGGATGGCAGCGCTGGCGATGGATCCGTAAATGCGGAGCAGGTAAGAGTTCGCGCAGCGCCGTAACACGTCGTACTGCCGTCGTACATTGCCGCGTACATGCCGGAGAGCACATGCCGGAATGGGTAACGCGTTGCGCGGGAAGGGGGGAGGACACGAGGGGAGAACACGAGAGCCCCGGGGCGGGAAGAAGAAGCCCATGGGGGAAAAGGTAATTTCCGTCCCAAAGGACGGGTTGGCGGGAAGAGGGCCATCCTATCTATTTACCATTCGTGTGCGTGTCATGCGTCTTGCTTGTCGTCGTGTGCTGTGTACGGACGTGCCTTGCTAAAAAGGGTGTAGGGATTTCTCACGTTGTTCTTCTGTTTTATCTATCTAACAACAAAGTACTGAAAGTACTGGAAGTGTGACAACCCTAAGCCTGCCTGCTTTGACGGCGGACTGGAAGACCGCCCTGTTTTGCGTTGCGTCATGCATTTGTGCCCCATGGTGAAGGTGACGTTGGAAACGGATGAACCGGCAAACTCCAGAGTCACCGAACCGGCGGCAGCGGCAGCAGCGGCGGCGACGGCGGCGGCGGCGCTGGCGGCACCGCTAGCATCAGCTCCCCCGGCGTCGCCAGAGCCCATGACGACGGCGACGACGATGACGAATTTGGAGGCGGGAGAGGTGGGAACGAGGGAAAGGGCGGAAGCGGAGACGTGACCGTTAATGGCGTTGTTAGTTGAAAGGTGGTTGGACGCCCCTGGTCAGGCCCACGGCTGACTGAGGCGACGAAGTCGAAGTTTAAAGGTACGAAATAAACCGCAGGCGCGAGCGCCTTGAGCGCCGGAAAAGGGTCCGCCGCCGCTGCCGCCGTAGCAGACGCAGAGGCAGAAGCAGCAATAATAGTCGCAATAATAGTCGCAGTAATAGTACCCGTAGCAACAACAGCAGCAGCAGCAGCAGCTACAGCAGGAGCAGCAATTGCCGGTGCTGCTGACACATCGTTTTGGGGGGGGGGGCTTTGTGTACGACATAATTGGGCGCCACACGGTGAGCAGAATGCCATAAGCCCCATGTTGGGCATGTATGCGCCGCTGGGCACAGGGGTGAGTGAGGCAAACATGATGAACTGCTGCTGTGATAAATGTTTGTGACCTATAAATAATATATTACCGTTTGGTGCCGTTGGATGATGGTGGATTTTGTAGTTGTATTAAGAGGATAGGGTAACTGCCAACGTCCAACAGAACGCCGAGGCGCAGCCACTCACCTGCCGTACAGTGCTCCATGCATGATGTGGCGTACGGCGGTGAAGACGCGGATTATTATCGAGGTCGGTACTGAGGTTTCTTTTACTACAGGTTGACGTTTTTTGAATTAGGGAGGTTGGGATTTTGGGAGAAGGGCCTGATGAAGCACCTGAGAAACCTCGCAGTATTCTTTTGGGCGTGTGATTTAGGGGGAGAAGGGGGCAAAGAAGGGGGGTCGGCAGGACAGACTCCTCCTTTGCTCTTCATTGTTTGTTATACCACCGTGTTGGAAAAGAAAGTCCGTTTGGTGAGTTTGTTGATTTGTTTTTGCTTGCTAATGGGCTGGTGCTTTTTGACTTTGTGCGTGTTGAAGTTTTTGCTGTGCAAGGGTGCTCTCCGCCTTTTTGCTGTGGTTTTCTACAGCCGTGGTTGCGGCTCGAGAGTTTTACGAGCCTTTCCGGGTGCACCACCACCGGGCTGATGAACGTCTAGGACTGGTGACTACGAGCCCAACCCTTACCGGCAAAAACCCTTTCCGACGTGTTGGTATGTAGTAGCATTATTCACGCGCATTCACACACGCACAAACGGTCTCTCTAGCGAGCGCGCACGCATGCATTCATGCATGCATGCACCCGCATTCGCGTTTAGGCCAGGAGGTACCCGCACAGCGACTACTGCGACGCGATTTCGGTTGCACGTGACTCTTGTGTGTGTGCCTGTGTGTGTGTGTGCCTGTGTGTTTGTGTTTGTGTGTGCGTGTGTGTGTGTGCCTGTGTGTTTGTGTGTGTGTGTGTGCCGTCTTCCTGAACCGAATGGACCGACACGTGTATCTCGTGTCTTATTGTGTTCACGTGCACTACACCACATTACTACACAAGGTTGTTACGTCGCACGCCAGGACGTGCAGTAGCAGCAGTAGTCCGCCGCGCATGCACTCGTACACGTGCGTGCATGTGCTCACACGAACTTGTATAAACACGGGGCAAACACACGCCCACGCCCACACACACGCACACGCAATCACACACACACACGCCCACGCCCACACACACGCACACACACACACTCTCAAAAGACATACATACATACATACATACACATGGCGGAGAGGGAGAGGGCTGAGACTCTTTAACTTGAGGCTTCAGGGAGCCCTGCGGCTTCTTAAATTCCGGAATGGCATTTCCTTGGAGAGATCAAACAGATCGATCACACATGCGCATTCTCCTGGTTCCGTACACGTTCCGTACACGTGGCGGCTGTTGTACATGTACAACACTGTCTACGTGGACACCCTCCCGTATCCGCACCAGCCGCCGGCGGTGGCCCCAAGGCTCCGAGACATATGTATGAGTTTTGGAGAAACGACCAAATTCTTCTTGGAGAATTAATATATTTAGGTGTGCACCCTTTCATAAATGGATGGTGCCGTATGTACGACATGATGTTCACGACAGTTATATTTCGTGCGGTACTTGCCATAGTGGTAGTTGCGCGGCTTTTGCCTTCACTTCCACCGGTTGCATGGGTGCTGTGGATGGCGGGCGGTGCGGAGTTCCCCCTAACGGGCCCCGGGTCCGCACCGCTTCAGCCAGATGCGCCACTCGTACGCCGTACGTGCGTGTTGATGAAGGGGATAAGATGCGAGGTGGATGTACACGGCTCGGCATTGGATGCGAAATAGGGCTTGCGAGTATGTGTATGTATGTATGCATGCATGTATGTGTTACGTATCGATCCGGGCCTGACACTGGCCAGGGGCACCTAACCGTACCGTATGCCCCAACGGGAACGACCGCTCCGAAGCGCGCTCCTCTATGTGGGGGGAGAGGGGCGTGTGGGGCCGCTAGCACCTCCTGCTCGACCGAGGGCGTGAACCCCCCCCCCGCGTTTCCCCCTTTGGTCAAAAGAGGAAAGAGAGCGCGATGGCGACCAAGGCCCTCAAACAAACAACCTCAGCACGCGCTGCAGCACAGATCCGTCCATATATATGTATGTATGTATGTATGTATGTGCATCTTTGCGTGTATGGACATATGTATGTGCGTGCGTCTGCTTGTGTTTTTTTGGTCGTGCTGAAGCCCTGGAAAAGATCAGGATGACGAGCGGGGGTCGTGAAAAGAAATATGAGGTGAACCAGTAATCCCGGAAGGAGGTGATGTTGGCCTCCGCGTGCTCCGTTCCTCGTGTATCGTTTCTTTGCAGAGTCGGAAGTGGCCGTGCCCCGGGACTCGGAGGCCCGCTCCACCCACACCTTGACACACTGTCGGGTGTAACCATGACGGCTCCCTAGTGTTGATGTTGGAACGTGACCCCTAGTGTTGATGTTGCGTGACGACTTGCGTGACGGCTTTTCTGTTGATATGTCTGTCGACGTGTCGTAGAGGGAACCGCCGTCCTTTACATATGCTCTCTGCGGTTTTCACCTTGGGGGCAAAGGGGGGACGGGAGGCAGCGGATGAGGAGGGGAGGGGAGGAGGACGGAGGAGGAGAAGCGCGCTACGGTGGAAGATTGGAGTGTCGTACATGAAATGAAAGGCCGTGCAGGGGGCACACCGTTCGTCGGCGGAACACTGTAAGGAGTCCACGGGGGTTGGTTTAGGGGTTTTTGGTTTAGGGAAGTTTTGGGGGAGAGTTTATAGATGCGATGAGGACGTTGGAGGTAGGGGGGAGGAGGAAGAGGAGGGTGAAGAGAAGCGGGGGAGGCCTGTACTGTGCACAGAGGCGACTCGGCCTCTTTCGAACCACTAGGCGCGACCCCCGCTAGGCTGTGATGTATCACACGCTTATATTGAATTGGCGCGCGACAATCGTTGCGATTGTGACCGCGTTCTTAAACTTTGCGTGGGGCTAAGATATCTAAACTACTATCTTGGGGTGTGACTACTGGGAAACGGAAGGTTTACTATTTTGCATAAACGAGGTGTGGCGTTGGGGAGGATTTGGGAAGTGGAGTTGGCTCAAGAAAAAAGGGGTGGGGGTGGGGGTGGGCGGGATTGCGACCGGCGGCCCTGCTCATGTAAAGGTGCCATTAATCTCCAGCATCTGCTTGGCTGCCCTTTGACTGAATTGTTGATGTGGAAGGCGTTCGCCAGCTTACCGTAAATTGACAAAGAAATTGTGCGTTTTGCTGACTTGTCCTCTCGGGCGACGCGTCCCGATTCTCACAGGGCAACGTTTATCCTAATTTCCGTGTGCGTCTATGTGTCCGTGTGTGTGAGGGAGAGAGAGAGAAATAGAGAGAATGTATTTTGTGTATGAGAGAGTGAAAGCATCGGCGGTGTTGGGCGCGTGCCTCTCATCATTTGGAAGACGCAGCTCCAAGCCGACGGCGGGCGGTGTACCCAGTACGGCCCCCTTCCTTTTCAGACGTCTGTACGCCGCTGCTGAAGCGGCTTTTCAGTCTGGGTAGCGAGGAGGTGGCTGGGATGCTGAAAGAGGGGGATGGGGGTCATCAAGTCCAGACCGGCTCTTTGACGAAAAAAAACATCGAATGGTGAAGGATAAGGCCCGGCGGTGGCAGCATTCCAGCGCGGCCGTCTAGGCCTCCTCAGCGGCAACGTTTTTTGAAATTCTATATTAGCATGGTTTTTGTAAGGATTATACTTCTAATTATAATATGGCTTCGGTCATTTATTGACACACAATCCTCCCTCCCTTACTCGCTTGCAAAAGATTAAAAAGCTGTCGCGCAGACTGGGCCGCCCTTAAGGCCTGGCGGGCGCTCCTGCACAGTCACGATTACCGTCCAGTCCTTAAGCGAAGTCCTCGAGCACCTCGAGCACCAAAGCCAGGCGACCTGCACTCCAAACGGGCTTTTGTACGAGCTTTTATGATGACGTGTTACAAACGCATTCATCTACGGCGACTACAATATCGTAGTACAGCGCCGTAGAGAGATGTGAAGCAAGGTATCCTCCTAACCATGCTGGTCACATTGGTGAAGCTAAAAGGTTCTTTTAACTGCCGTACTGAGCCTATGTTCGTCAGCAAGTTAGGCGCGGCGCGGTTCGTATCGACTGGCAGCGTTACGAAGGTATTTACACGTAATATATTTTGTATGCATTCGTGCCTGTACATGTACATGGATATATGCACGCGTACGGCATCGTACACCTCTTCGGAAAGAGTTTTGTGCGTAACATGTATGAATTGTGACGGACACAGTCAAAAAGCGGTTTGGTAATATATTACTATGTGACTGTACTACATATATAATATATACCATATGCTGGTTGGAAAGCTCCTGGAGGCAACGCCTCATCCCAAGAGCACCGTTAAGAGGTGGTGTTGTACAGCCGTACTGCGTTTTCCACAGAAAATCAGGCTCCGAAAGAACCTCCACACACACACGCACACACGCGCGCGCACTGCGTTACTATTCACGTGCACATACATACATACATGTACGTATATATACACAGGAGATTCCACTGACGCGGCGCGCCTCCTGCCATATTCCTAGCGAGACTCCCCTACCTCATCCCCCCCGGGTAAACCGTGCGGGGAGGGGAGAGCCGTGTGGAGGTCCTTTCACACGGCTCCGAAACGCCTTACAACTGCCCGGCAACCTCGCCCCCTTACCCCTCCCAGCAGTACGACAACCCAACTGAATAAAATACACAACCTCCCGGGGGCGGGCCCACTTCCCCCCTTCCTGCAACCCTCCTCTTTTGTCCTTTCCCGCCTCCTGTCATAGCCTGCTCGTAAATACTGCTACTGCTGCAGAGCGTATATTAAGGCAGTTTGTTTGTATGTGTGTGTGTATGTGTGTGTGTGTGCGTGTGTGTACACAGGCGTTTACGACGAGACAAAATGTCTCAGGCACGGTCGGCAGTTCCGCTTGCACTTCAGGGACAGCTGGGGGAGGCGGAAAGAAGTCCGAAAGAGGTATCAAAGTACCAAAGTAAAACCCCAAGTCACGAACCCAGGGGGAGAGCCAGCTCCCCCCCCCCCCCGCCCCCTCCTGCGGCCCTGGGAAGTGAAAGATGGTCGCTTTCCAGCTGGAAGGAAGGAAGCCTCAAAATTCCCAAATCAAAAATTCCGTGTATGAGTGTATTTGTATGTTTATATATATGTGTGTGTGTGTATGTACCATTAAATAAATTAATAATATAAAAATAATTCAACTGTGCAGTCTCGCTGCCGTCTCTCTGTCACAAAGCATAGCAATGCTGGCGCTGCCGCCTTAGCGGTGGCGGCGACGGATCTGTGCTTCAGTCGCCAACGCCTGACCGTCGGGGGACGGAAGAGCCTCAACAGATTTTGAGGAGTTAAAACATATAATGCCGTTAATAGTAATATAAGCCTTGGTCTTGGTCGTACTCGTCGTACTCGCTGTCGTGCACGTCTATCACGTCATCCTCTCCGGATGACGTGTCGTCACGGCCGCCGCCACCGCCGCCGCCGCCGCCACCCTGATGCCCTCGAACACCGTCTGCACCGCCGACGGCAACACCCCCAACATCGTCGCCGCCGCCGCCGCTGTAGCCTCCTTCCGTACTCCGTTCCTCAGGCAGCAGCATGTCATTCACCTTCCGCCGAACAGTCTGTTATTTGGGGCGCCAATTTGGATGTCAAAATATAAATATTTGTTTCCAAATTTGGCGCCAATTTGGAGACAGACAGACGAACAGGCCCAGAAAGGCCCAGAGCACCAGGGGCTGCACACTCGCACTCGAGCAGTAAATTGCGAACCAGCTATACATCCGAAACCACTCCGAATACGAACTGCCGGGCAGCTGCCCGCCCTGAAACCACTCGCCTAACCAACAGCACCCACCTTCTGTAGCTGCACCTTCATCCACTCCTGTGCCACGTGCCGTACAGGTGCGAGGTGCCGTACGGTACGAAGACACGGCGACGACGGAGGAGGAAAGCCACCGTCGGGGGGTGTCCGGAGACAGTAACAAACCGAGAGGAGAGGAGACGAGGGGGTTCGGGAGGGTGTCCGGGAAATATGTTGGATTACACCCCCGGGAGGGGGGGGGGAAAAGGGGCTGGGCGGCTGAGGCGGCGGGGGGGAGGGGGAAGAGCCCTGAGCAACTCTCCCTCTTTATGTGTGGACTAATTCAACCCGTTCCTTCCTCAGCCTCTCCCAACCCAGCTCAACTTCCGAAAACACATTCAAAGACCGCAACTGATGCGGCACTTATGGGTCACCATGCGATGCTATGGAAATTGCCTCCCAGGAGAGGGTTTGTACGGCTGTACGGCGGGTTCATCCTGGGGGGTTGGGGGGGTTAAGACGAATCACTACTGGCAAATGAAGCAGACACCGGGGGGGGTGTTTGGGGCGATACACACACATACACACACATATACACACACATACACACACACATACACGCACCTGCAGATGGAGCGCATACACGTGCGATACGTAGTGAATGAACGTCCAGGCGTCGGGCTGCGGGTCCTCCAGCTCCGCCGCCGTCGTGGCGCCGCCACCGTTGCCGTACATCAACGATAGACGACCAGCACGACTTCGCTCCAACGCCGCCCAGAGAGCCTGCTGAGGTAATCCCCAGAGGTCAGCTGCGTTGCCCCTGCCGTACACGGGGCCCGCCGCGTTACGGGTTGCGTGTCCGCCACCGGCGTCACTGCCACTCCGGGGGCGGCGGCGGGATGGCTTGCCGTGGTTTCTGCTGCTGCTGCTGCTACTGGCGCCGCCGCCGTTGCCGCCGGCGTCTGTACGAGCTTGGTCCTCCGGCGTCCCGCTCCGTTTGCTGTCCTTGGCGTTGCCGCTGCTCCGACCTTTACTGCTACTGCTGCTGCTACTGCTACTGCTACTGGTACTGCTGCTGCTACTGCTAGTGCCGCCACGTCCGCTTTGGCTGGAGGCGGCTGCCGACTTGCCGGGCACCCCCTTGCCCTCTCTGAATTGCGCCTTGCTACTGCCGCCGCTGCCGCCGCCTTTAGGAGCTTCCGCCGGGGGTGCCGTACCCTGTATGTTGTCCGCTTTCCTTTTCCCTTTGCCGTTGCTACTACTGCCACTTTTCCGGGGCCTCAATGCCGACGATGCCGACGACGATGGCGACGACGGCGTTGATGATGACGATGACGATGACGCTTTCCTATCCCCGGCAGTGGCGCCGTCAGCTGCAAGAAGGGTGCCGTTGTGAAATGCCGTCGCCGCAATGTACGCATCCAGCAGGCTGCCGCCGAAGCCGCCGCCGCCAGCGGCGTTAGTAGTGTTGTTGCCGGCGCCGTGGAGATAGGTGTCGCTTGAATTCGCCCGTTGATCTCCAGTTCCAAATTTGGATCCATGGCCGCCGCTGCTGCCGGATCTAGATTCCGAAAGCGCCAACCGTCGCTCCACATCGAGCTCCAAGGAGACCCGGTAGAGGTGCAAGATCTGAAGCTCGGCCTGTACGGCAATGGATCACGCAGGACACCATGTGCGGAATTCCAGCAGGCGGCGGCGGCGGAGGAGATCAATGTTTTTCCTTTATTTGTGGGTTTGAGGGTTTTAATTTTTTTTAAAATACCCATTTTATTTTTGTTTCTGATTTTCAAGTAACCCAAACGGGGACGAGGAATTGAAGGACATAGTCCTTCTGCATAATGCAAACAAACAGTTATTACTATTGTTATTGTTATTATTATCATTATTATTATTAGATTTTTCCATTATTATTATTATTATTACTGTGTATTATGTGCATACACAGTATGTATACACATACATGTGTATATGTATATGTAATCTAATTAATATAATTATATTACAAGCAGCAATTATTATTACTCCTATTTTTGAGAGCACCAAGTGGATCCGGATGCCGTACCTCAAGCTCGGCTTGCCGTACGCCGCCAGCCGCCAGACGCGCCTCCAGGTCCTGTTCGCGTTGCCCCGCCGCCCCAAGCATAAGGCCCATACCCGCCACGGCCGCCACTATCACCAGTGCCTGCCGTTAGCGTCGTCAATGTGGTCGTTAGTGCCGTTATCACGATTGCCGTTTTTATCGGTATTTGTCCTTCCGTATCAACGGAACGAGAGGACGACGGACGAAGGAAGACGTCGTACGCGATGTACGGCTGTGGATTTAAAGCGGCCTCTTCAAATGCGTCGCGAAGCGAAATATAATGTGTTTGCATAATTTATAATCTAAAGGTGGTGTCCACGATAATCCCCTTCGGGAAATTCAGTCCAGTCAGAAATTACAAAACAACACTGTTATATGTTATGTAATAGAGTAGCAGCACATTAACATCATAGACCACAGAGCAACATTAGCAGCACCTCTACCGTAACCGCAGCAACAGCAACAGCGACAGCAACAGCGACAATCGCAATCGCAACGCATCATCATCATCAGGCCCTTGAGACGTCGTACCAGCAGCGCCAATGACGTCAGCGATTTCGTCCTCAGGCTCCGAAACCGGTGTGACCACTCCACCTCCAAAGACATCGTCACTCGCTCAACCTAGGTGAGGTGAGGGCGGGAGGAGGGGGGAGGAAGGGGAAAAAGGGGAGTGCGGCCGGGGAGATGGGGCTTCACACGGGTTTGGGTTCCATGCAGGCACGCAGGCATGCAGGCAGGCAGGGAAGGGGAAAGAGATTCCGGAGAACATATCTCTTGTCGTACTTTATCGCAAGTACAGAAGTATCCCCCTTAGGGACTTTAACAAACTCCCTAAATAAAAAGCATAAAAACGTCAATCACGGGCGCATATCGAAACCCCCCAACAGCAGCTCCAGAAACCTTACATACATACATATAACGGACACGACGAAGGCCCCACAACCCACAACAACCTGCGCTTGCAGCATACGCTGCCGGGCCTCGTACGCCGCCGCAGCGTCGCTCTTGTCTCCCAGTTGCACTGCCCGCGCCACCAGCCACTTGAGCTCGCCCTCGTTCACCACCTTGCTGCCCGTGATGGCGCCGCCCCACCGCCCGAACCGAACCTTGACAGGACAGCAGCCCGCAGATGTATGTATGTATGTATGTATGTATGTAGTATGTAGTATGTAGTATGTAGTATGTAGTATGTAGTATGTAGTATGTAGTATGTAGTATGTATGTATGTATGTATGTATGTATGTGCGTGTGGGATTCTAATCAACACGTGTGATTATCATCAACTTGAACAAAACAAAATTTAGTAAACTCTAAAAAAAACTCAATCAGCCACGTCTACAATTCCATTGGAGGATCCTAACACACGTCGCTGGTGGCTACAGAGCTGGCGCGCTTTGGTATGAAACTATCTGTGTTCGTGTACCACTGTGTATTCCACATTGGAGCCCCCCCCCATCGCGGGGCTCCGAAGATCATTTTAAAGCGCACACAGGTACACGCACAGAGACAGACGCACATACAGACACACACACACACACAACGACAGGCGTCCACGTCGTCTGGCCTCCATCTCCTTTTTTGTCGTACCTGACTAAGAGTGTACGCCTGTACGGGTACTCCGCTATCCGTATAATCCGACGTGAGCCGAGCCAGCTGCAGGGAACTGGCCACGTCATCAATTTGGAGAATCCGGATCCCGAAAATTCCGGATCCAGACGCGTACGACACCACCACGCCGTCGTAGTCGCCCAGCTTGACTAGCGCACCTGGTTTGTATACGCATATGAGAAATGGGAAATTGGGAATGGTGTTATTATTCCTGATCTATTGTTTTAAGTGAGCTGCGGGATGGAAAAGGGCACCGCGGGGATTACACAGGAGCAATGTGCTTACTCTCCATTCACTCACTCACTCCATTCACTCCTTCATTCACTCACCTACGAAATTGGCCATATCGTTGTCCCGCGTGCGCTCCTCCTCGCGACTGATCGTAACCATCTTATCGGATCGTACTTCACATGAGTCATCGTTGGTCTTGATCTTTACGACGTACTGCGTGCTGGGTTTCAATTTCTTGATCTCGTACTGCAAAACCCGCCGTGCATGCCGTACGTGTTACACGGAGGACAGAAAGGGGGAGGGTGCATGAATAAAAATATTATATAATATAATCTAACATAACATAATGTGATATAACATAGTATAGTGTAATACAATTATTATATAATATTATATTATATTAAACTATATTATATTATACTATATACTATATTATACTATATTACATCATATCACATCATATCATATCATATCATATTATATTATATTATATTATATTATATGATATGATATGATATTATACATTTTATTAAACCTGCTTCAGAAAGCTATACAGAATTGCTGCCTCCACAAAAACCTCCAGGAGTGTGTGTCTCGATGTTTTTTACTTCAGACCCACCCCCCACCCCCCAACTGCCTCCCCATTCACGTTCGTTACCCCCCTCCCCTTCCGCCCTCTAAAAACAACAGAACCCCCAAAATACAAACAAGCAAACCCAACAGCAGGCTCAGCCCAAAACACAGCTTACCTCAAAGTACTGAGCCTCACCCAGCATGGGTTGCCGTACAGCTAGCTCCGGCCCCAATATGGACACGGGCGTCAACGTCACCTGAGTTCCAAACACCGCCCCAACTTTCTGCAGTACGGCAGGCGAAAAGTGCGGGAAGAGTCGACAGCCATGACGTCAGCAACAGCAGCACCGCAACTTTGACTCCAAGGATGCCCAGCGCCTTTCCCCAACAAAAAGAGAGGGGGAATGAGATCTCACATTCCCGGATGCCGTACGTGGAGAACAAGGCATATGTGTGTGTGTGTGTTTAGCAACCCGACCACACCTTAAATCAGAAGCTTCGGGAAGTTCGCGGGAAGCATTTATCCCCTCATCGACTGACGGCTATGGCATCCCTACCCTAAGGCACTGTCATAAACTGGTGTGTACATCATCAGAGGTATTGTGTACGACACGGAGAACTGAAGCGATCTCTGGTACGGCGTCCCACAGATCTGGATCTGGATCTTTAGCACACCAACCTTGTAAAAGATTTTGAAGGTCTCACTGTACGGCGCGGCTTGGTAGAACCCGATGACGAGCGCCGAGGAAGAGGACCAGACCTGCTCGTGTGCGGGGGTGTCATTTCCATTTTCTATATCAAAAAACCTGAAATCCGGGTACAAGAATTCAAAGAATTCCAGATCCAGATCCTAAAAATGTCCTCTCGATGTTTAATTTGGCAGACGTTTGATATACGGATGTATAGGTGTACGGCAGCATTGGAAGTCCTTTAGGATTCCTTAAACCGGAATTCATCCGTACCATTACAGATACTTGATACATTAAGAAATGAACAGCAGGTGTTAAAAATGCGAACAGACCGGAATTTCAGCCCTCTTTCTAAGTCTTATCGGAAGCCATATAAAGATCTGAATCTGTTTCGCTTCATTGGGGATCCATCCGATCATCACTGAAAGGACACCGCGTCTAGATTTGGACCGGCATAATCCCAAATTCTGCCAAAAACAAGAAAAACATTACAACCATAAAAAATAGCCATAAAAAATAATGGATGAGTGGAAATGACTGCCTGTGTGCTTTAAAAAGGATCTACGGCAGCCGTACAGCACGTGACAAAATCTGAGGTGGCATGGTCCCTGTTGGCAATGGGGGAGGCGGAGGATATGGCGGTGGTAGACGGTTGCAGACCATTTGTAACCCCCTGAGCCGCCACCGCGGCTGCAGCTACCGCCGATGCCGGGGGACAGGGCTAAGCTTTTCCATGTGCCATTCGTTCCTTCCCCGTGCGTTCTTGCGTTTGCGGAACCCAATTCCGCGGTGTGTCCCTCTTCAACTCCCGACATTACCTTTACGGGCTTTGACAGCTGTCCGGGCTGAAGCACCAGGCGGCCTTGAGGAGGCGGCGATGGCGTGCTGAGCAGAGCATCGCCAACCTCCGGCTGCTGAAACGCCATCTGCCTAGCGAGGTGGATGAGGGCAAGCCTTGCCCGTCCTGTACTGTTCGGTCAAGCTCTGCACCGCGCTGGCAACCGTAACATGCTCTGTTCTTGTGGCGTTCGAGATGACAGGGTGTATTCGAAAGTAACTACTGATAAGCAAAGTGTTGTTGGGACTGAAGGGATCTTTTATTATTGTCGAGAAGTGTCTACTCGCCCCCTTGATGATATCCGGAGTTACCTTTGTTAGGAGATAGTTGACGATGTGCCTTGGGTCAGGCGCACCAGTGATAACTTCAGATCAAACTGCATATATTGGAGTACAATATGATAAAAGAAGTGGCCAAACATGCGGACCTTAGCTTAAGTCGGCCGGTGCAAAAGGTATCGGCGTAAACTGCCGTAACGAAAGCAGTACCGGCACAAAAAGACGAAGTGAAGATTTTGCCCATGGCCATCATCCTGCAGCAAATACAATTACAAACACATCCTTAAGCGGTGCTATCAGAGTACAAGAATGGCTTTGGTAAGCAAATAATCTCAGAGTCGAGCTATCGGCAGAGATGCATTCTGCCCTTCCCTTGCAACGCAGCAGCATGAAACTAATCCAATACTCTTTATGTTTTCAGGCATCAATTTCCCGCGTCAATGGCCGAGTCGGCACCCGCGTCGCTGCCGCCGCTCGCCGTGTGGTAGGCACTTCGGGTATCATTGCGCCGCATTCCTTAACGCCTATCCTACTCTCCATGTTCATCGTATTTCCATGTTTTGACCACATAGCTTATAGCTCAACAGTCTTCGAAGCCCTCCTTGTGTGGGCTGTGATGATCTGAATTGCATATCGCCGCGCGTTACTTCTTGCTAATGGATGTCGACACAGGATACGTCAGCCCGTGTCTTTCTGTTATCAAGCCGTTCGTAGTTTGCCTCGGGATGTGCTGCCGAAAGCGTCGTGACATCTATATACTTCGTGCTGCGGGTCTCGCACCCAGCCGCAAGACAGGTGCCTCTGTCTATTGAACGCATCGCTGTGACGTCTGCGGGCGTCTGGAAGGGGCATGGAACAGGCGGCAAGCAAACAGCCCCCCAAAAGCAAAACCGAAAATAAGAAAAGGAAAAAAAGGGGAACGAAAACCGAGGTGATACCCTGTAGGGGACACCATGTCGTTTATTCCCCCTTTGGCTTTCCAAAGAGGATCCCCCTCAATGGGAAAATGACACCTAGGGGAATCACTTCCGTTTTGTTCTTTTCACAAAAAGGATATTTTGCCAGAAGATTATCCGAAAGGGGACATTCAGAAGTGGGGAAAGGAAGGAGCCCTTACCCTTCGGTCAGTCTTAATGAGGAATCCTCCGAATCCGAAGGGATGCGCAAAACGCGTTCAGGCAGGTGGGCGTTACGAAATCTCTGTAGCACTTACGAAATCCTATTCCCCTGCCCCCAGCCCCCAACCCATCACCTGTTTGAGTCCTCTTTTTTGCTTTTTGCTTTTTTTAGATTGAATACCGAAAACGAAAACAAATGATTGAAGCAAACCTGGTGCGCACCTTCCTTCTTCATCCCAACCTGACCATCTCTCCCTCCCTCCCTCCCTCCCCCTCCGCGCGCGGCGCCCTCAAGACTGTGGCGGTTCGTGCCGCCCATAACCCCGCCGCCATCACTAAGAAGGTAAGAGGCAGCCTGCAACGGCAGCCTCTCTGCTCCTAATTTGAGCTTCCTGTCGTGTACGACAGTGTGCAGCAGTCGTACAAAGTTCCTCGTAACGTGCAGAGCGGCATTTCACTACGGTTTTATTGTGTGTGGGGGTCCGTTTTGGGAGCATTGGCACATACATACATACATACATACATACAAACACACACGCGTGTATATGTCGTATAAGAAGTGGATCAAGGGCAGCATTGTACGGCACGAACGATGGGTGTACGGCAGCAATGAGGTCCCGATGGAAGGCCGGCAGTGCCGTACAAAGCGATGTCATGCCATCTTCTTGTTTTTCAACAACGAATTGTACACGTGGCAAAGAAAGATCCGCTGCGGCAGTGCCAGGGAGTAAGGGAAGCGAGTCGCAAACCTGAAACTCTTTCGAAATTGAGGAGTTTCAGGACAGAAGCTGAGATAATTGCTTATTGGTTTTCCTTATTGGCTTGCTTCAGTGGATCCTCAGCCATTGTCGACTTTTCTTCATCTCGCTAACTCTTCTTTCCGCGCCTGGTTTTAAAGAAACGTTCCGTATATATTCGTATTTCGGCAGGTTTATTTCGATGTCGACATTGGCGGTAACAAGGCGGGCCGGATTGTGATCGGCCTGTACGGCAATGACGTACCGAAGACCGTTGAGAACTTCCGGGCGTTGTGCACTGGCGAGAAGGGCTTCGGCTACAAGGGTTCACCTTTCCACCGCGTTATCAAGTAAGCTAGGACTCATGAGAATTATGAGAGCCTTGTTGCTACCGTGTCACGATACGAAATATAATATTAAATACAGACAGATTTTGCGGACAGAGTTTAAGACGGGCAGGTCGTATATGTTATGTCATGTAATGCGCACTCTAAACATTTGCCTTCAAACATTTCCCGGATCCCCAGACTGACAGCAGATTCATTTATTGGCCACTCTCCCATAACATCCCTGCTCGCAACTTGCGTACGACACAAAACACACAAATATTCAACTTATGACACGAACACTGCATCTGTGTTGTCAACGCCGACCTCTCCTCGCCTTTGCCTGCCTGCCTGCCTTTGCCTGGCGGCGTGGCCTCTCCTTGGTGCGGTTTCTCATCTCCTCATCTCAGGCAGTTCATGATTCAGGGTGAGTGATGGTTTTACAGCTTGCTAGCTAACTGCTAACCGCTAACGACCTAACTGTGTTGCTTGCTGGCAAATGTGCACACCAAGAGTACGCGTGGCTGATGTCGTACCGAGAATTCACAACGGTGCATCTGTTCACGATAACATTTTAATATAGATGGTTAGGATTTAGGATTCATTAGGTCGTCCAGTCTAATTTATTTATTATGAATTAATCAGTCGCTGCGGGATTTATATATTATGTATGATTCCTCCAGGGCGGGCGGGGACATCCACATCGGACATGCCGTAGGGCCTTCGCAGAGCAAAGAGAGAGAGTGGGAGAGTAAAAGGAGAGAGTGGGAGAGTGAAGGGAGAAAGATATAAAGAGATGCTGATGATGATGCTGATGATCAATTTTTTATATGGCTTCCATTGTCAGCCTTTTTGATGTTATCGGTCTAGCTTTCCTTTGCTACCCCCCATAAGGCCTCCCCGCCTCCCCGAACTCGCCCTTTTCCGTACATTCGTGATGTATCTCTCCATCGTGGATCTAGGCGGCGACTTCACGAACGGTAACGGCACCGGCGGAAAGTCCATTTACGGCCGCACCTTCGCCGACGAGAACTTCAAGTGTAAGTGCGCCTTGTGCGTGTGGGTGTGTGTCTGTGTGTCTTATGTGCGTGGTTCTGCATCTCTCGACGTGCGAGGTGGGGGGAAGCGAAGATGCACAAAGGGCGTTTCTCCCCCCCTCTGACGCGTCAATCGGTTCTTTACTCAGACTTGACGAGAGCTGGTACGACAGCTTTTGGGGGACTGGTTCTCACCCCCACCCTAACCCTAACCCCCACCCCCCGCCCTTCCTGTCGCCCCACCTAATACTGGTGCTGGTGCTGGTGCCACCAACCACGACTTTCCCGTTCGCTCGCTCTTCGTGAATCTGAAGAACCCCTCCCTTTCGTTACCTCTTGCCCGTTGCTTCTGGGACACTGTTGCTTTGCCGCTGCTGGTGCTGCTGGTGCTGGTGCCCCACTTCCCCCCCTCCTCCTCTCCCCCCCTCTCCCCCCCTCCCTGGACCGGGAACGGGGCTTTACAAAACCCTGTAGACCGCCACACCGGCCCGGGCATCCTGTCTATGGCCAATGCGGGCCCGGGTACCAACGGCAGCCAGTGAGTTGTGTTTTGGGTTTTTGGTTTTGGGTTGGGTTGGGTTGGGTTGGGTTGCGATATGGGGGCTGTGTGCGTGTGCGTGTACGTGTGTGTGGGGGGGGTTGGAAGCTGTGGAAGAGGCTGTTGGGTTAACAACCTAGGGTTTGGGGATGAAGATGAAGGTGGTTGTGTGGCGTGTGATGCGCGCCCCTGGGATGGTGATTGGCGCGCGAAGGGGAGATGAGGAGGGTTTTATGAAGTCTGTGTGTATGTATGTATGTATGTGTATGCGAGTTCACGGTTATGTGCCTCCGGTTAGTGTTTCGGGGGGGGGAGGTCTCATTTGCTTGTTCTTCTTCATCCCCTGCAGGGTTCTTGCCGCTGTATATTACCCTGATGTGCTTTATAACACAATCACTGGCCTGTTATCACCAACAACAACACGCGCATACTCGCACGGTGACGAGACTTCCATTCGAACACACGGCGCGGAATGCACGGCGCGGAACTGCATATATGGACGTGGACATACATACCATACATTCCGCGCCATATATGTGTGCGCGCAGGTTCTTCATCTGCACCGTCCCCACTCCCTGGCTCGACGGCCGTCACGTGGTCTTCGGTGAGGTGGTGGAGGGCATGGATGTGGTGGCCAAGGTGGAGGGCTTTCCAACTGGAAGAGGGGACCGACCTGTGGAGCCCATCACCATCGGGGAGTGCGGCGAGCTGTGAGGGGGTCAGAAGATGGAGATGACGATGATGACGATGGTGGTGGTGGTACTGGTGCAGGAATATAACAGAGGTGTGTGAAGATGGTGGTGATGAAGATGGTGGTGATGGTGATGGAGGAATGTAACAAGAAACCTCGGGATAAAAAGTACAGAAAGAGCGGAGTAAGCTGCGGGGCTCGCGAAGGAGGCGGCCTGCAAAGGGACGAGGAGCCGTTGGTACAGAAGAAGAGTGTTAGAGGCTGTTGTTGACTTTGTCAACTACCCAACAACCCAACGGAGGTAACAGCTCTTTTGAAGGATCGTGTTGTGTTGTTCTACGACGCGACGAGGAGAAAGGGGAAGCTGTCTGTTTGTCTGTCTGTAAGAGCGTTCATACTCCACAAGCCCCGGCGCGCCCCGGAGCTGTTCTGCGAAGGTTTGGTGGGGTGGAATGGATGGATGGAGGGGTTTTAGGGTTTCGTGTTGGTGGGGGAGAAGCGGCTTTCGGGGCCCAGCCGGGGAAATACGAGAAGATGTGTATGTGGTGTGGTGTGTGTGTGGGGGGGGAAAACCAGTGTTGGAAAAAAAGGATTCATACCGTGTATTTTGGGCCGAGCCGCAAAAGCCGCTTTTCTCCTCCACAACTCCTTGTGCTTTGACAGACAGCAGGGACGCTTGGTAGCTCAGCTGGCTGTCTGCTAGTTGACGGTGTGGCCTTAAAAATGCTGATTGTTGACGATGGGGGAATATATCATTGTGCGGGGGCGGAAACGGAATATGTGGCAACATGGTGGCTGGGGACGAGATGATAGGATAGATAGAAAGCCAGGCGTAGATCATCGTTTCGATTCATAGTCTGTGCTATGTTATGTATGTGAGACATGTTTCGGATCGGCAACAGGGCCTAAACATCTGTAACGCCGTTTCTTATTAACAAATTGCCGCTCGGTATGTTTCTCTGCGCGACGCCTCGTGACAGTTAGTTATCAGTTTACCCGTGTGGTGTCATGTACGGCGCAAATGTGAAGGACCAGCCGGTATGCGCACTCGGCGTCACGCCGGCGCCGGTACTCATCAGTAAAGGCCCCGGCAGGTACGCGTCACTCACTGCTCATGCATTAGAACCGAACCCCGGCAGAGGAAGACGGGTTCTGCGGACCTTACCTTAGGGTGCGTCCTAAATTGATCATACTCGGGAGCAGGGTTCTTCAACAGGGTACCCAAAAATTCCGGTCGTGCCCGAAACCCTTTCGGGGCCCTCCCCGAAAACCTCGTTGTCAGCCTGACAGTTTTTTCGGGCAGCCCGAAACTGTCTGTAGCGGTTTTCGGGGTCAAGTTTAGCTGGATTCTTTACCGTAACATGCTAGGACGACTGAATTAACAGGTGTTTGACTTTAACTTGGAAGATGGCGCCTGGGAGCAGTCGTTCAGGCATGTGTGCGATATAGCCGCAACGCACATTTGTTTGACTGGTGACCAAGCGGGCCGTACACTGCAAGCCCGGTTTCAAGGCGCCTTCCGCGCCCGAAAACATGCAAATGAACGATTAAATATCTGTCGGTTTTTACCGAAATTGCCTTCGGGAGCTTCGGCGGGGGCCCCGAAGAAATGCTTCAAACGGCCCCAAATCCTTTCGGGATGCTCGGGGCGCACTAATTTTCCTTTCGGGCAAAACGGGAAAATCTCAAAAACTTTCGGGCCCGAATCGGGGTGAAGAACCCTGTCGAGACTGTCTCGGGCACGAAGACGACTTTGCATGGCTTGGCTTCCAAAGCCGGATGGTGTACGATGCCCAAGCGGTCGTTTCCGTTTCCTCCCAAACGACGCGCGTACAACACGCCAAGAAGGTGGTTCAAGAAGGGAAGAGCACCTCACCCTTTGTCTCTGCTCAGGCAAAAAATAGTGACAACGACACAAAAAAATAATCCAAACAATAATCTATATAGCAGGGGAAGCTGCAGCAGCAACACAGCAACTAAAAAGTGAGGTGGAAGGCGAATATTGTTGACCGAAGTGTCGCCACTACCAGCAACTCGCGCACAAAAGCCGGTCCTGGCGCTCACCTCACCCCCCTCCTTGTCGCACACCACGCGCGGCAGAGCTAACCCATACGATTTCCCCTCCCCGACTAACCGTACGAGATGTCCACCCACCTCTCCTCCACCTCAATTACATTGAGACCCCGAAATTCAGCAGGGATACACCTCCCTCTCTCTCTCTCTCTTCCTCTCTCTCTCTCCCTTGAAGTCAGCGAGAGTCCCAGTAATCCGCCATGGATGGGGCCTGAATGATTGTTAAGAGATGTGTGTGTATGTGTGTATGTATGTGTGTGATATCTATCAATTCCCATGTGATGGAGTGAAGGAGATGGAACCGCTACGGTTGGTGATCGGCAATCATAATCATTATCATGCTCGCTCCTGATTTTAACTTCCACTGCTACTGCCGCTAGTTCTAACTTTAGGTGTTGTTGCAGCTGCTACAGCTAGAGCTGTTGGTGTCTCAAATATCGCCACATCGACCCGTCGTTGTTTGCGCGATCGTTGCCCGACGTGACGTGAATGGTGCAGCAGCCCCAGAGAGCCCTCCAAACCGCATAACATACTCCTAAAACCCTAAGACGGGACTGGGGCTTCTTTAAGTGGATCGGGGATTCCTCGCACGCGAAAAGGCCTCTCGCAAAGAATGGTAAGCAGCGCCGTTGGACAACACCCCCCAGCCCCGACAACAACACCCCCCAACTCATTGTGACTGACCGGTGTCGTACTTATGCAAGTTGCCTACATGACACGTCGGATACGAGTACAATCGTACACATCATATTTTGGTTGTAGATAAACAAATATGCCTCAATACTCATGATCATAACAATTTTATGCGTGTATGTGCCAAATAAACACACAACTACACACACGCCGTCATCACACGCCGTAGTAGCGTGCTGCTGCTGCTGCTCCACTGCTACCGCAATCACTTTCTGATGCAAAAACCCGCAGACAATGATCCATTACTTCATTACTACTTCAACAAAAGCATATAGCGCGACGTGCCCGTACCAAAGAGAGCGCAAAGCGCGACATACACCTCTAAATACTCCAAACTCCCCCCTAAGACGACGACGACGAACACGACGACGAAGGCAACGACGGGACTGCAGGGCGGCCCCAGAGGAGTCCCGCGATGGAGCCTTCAGAGACACTTCAGAGATCAGACAGGCTTATAATGTATCGTCCCGCTCTGTTGAGCAACAAACCCAACGCCATGAAAGACCCAACTCACACCTCCTGCTTCTCCCCAAACTCGTATCATATCATTATGCATCAAATCACCGTCAGTCAACGAAATTAACGGTAACAGAAGCATCACGGCCATCGCTGAGTTACTGGGTATCGGCCATTGGCTACCAATCGGCAGCGTGGGCCGGCGTGGGCTTGGCGACCGGAGGGTGCGACGAAAGCGCCGAAGTGGGAGGCGTCACCACGGCGGGGTACGACGGCAGCGACGACGTTGGCAGCAACGGCGACGACTGATGACGCCAAGCGGGGGACCCTGACGGCGAAGCAGGCGTTGCGGTGGCGGCGGCGGCGGCGAACGCAAATCCGGGCTGCTGTGGCTGAAGAGGATGCCCTGGGTGATCCAGCGGTAGACTGCCGTACTGCGTCGACGGCTGCGGCGGCTGCACCGGCGGCGGCCCCAATCTCGCACCCGCGCCATCCTGCGGTGTCTGATGTGCTGCTTGAGGCATCACGCTCAAGCCCGGCGTCTTTGTGCCCAAATATAAAGACTGCGACTGTGGCTGCGACTGTGGGAGTGGCGTGGCGGAACCGCCGCTCAAGGGCGAGGGCGTTGACGGCGGGGGCGAATTTCGCCCGGGGGCCGCTGCCGGCACTGCCGCCGCCCCTGCAGTAGCGTGCGCAGCAGTAGTAGCAGCAGCAGCAGTAGCAGCAGCAGCAGTAGCAGCAGCAGGGCCCTGACCGTACGTCTTGGGTCTGTCGTGGTACTGCTGACGATGATTCTGTTGCTGCGACGGCGGTTGAGTAGCTGCGAATGCCATTTGGGTGAACTGCTGGCTGTACTGGTGGTTGCTGTACTGGTGCTTGTGGCCTTGAAGGTGTTGATGTGCCTCACCGGGCGCTAAAAATGAAGGCTGTTGCTGCTGCTGCTGCTGTTGTTGCTGTTGTTGGTGCTGCAGCAGCTGCTGCTGCTGGGCCTCCATGGCCGCCTGCTGCTGTTGTTGCTGTTGCCGCTGCGCTGCTTCATCCTGGCTCAACAAGAACTGCACCCACTGGTCCGCGAGAGAGTCGCCGCCACCACCACTACCGCCGCCGCCGCCCTCTGAGGGTGACCAAGTCGCGGCGGGCCGGCCGCCCACCAGCATCCGACCCGCACCACTCACCAGCGCCAGGGGGGCACCCGCCACGCGGCTGAGGAGACCGCGGCGGCTGCCGCCCACAAGGCCCAGTACGACACGGTCCTCCTCACTCATGTTGAGCATGCGGGCCATGAGCTGAAGCACCTGTGTGTGTATGCGTGTACGCGTGTATGTATGTGTGTCTTTGGTCTATCCTATGTGCGTGTGGGCGTGTGGATGCGTGTGGGCGTTACATACTGATATGGGTCAAAGCCACCGGGGCCAACCCAAAGGGCTAGTTGATAAGGGCGGGGCCAGAAGCCATGAAGGGGGAGAGCTGCTTTGGGAGCCATGTTGGGAGCCATCTATCCCCCTACCCCCCATCTCCACCACCATTACCACTACTACCACCACTACCTCACCTCTTTGCTGTGCTGCCGCTGGAAATACGTTAGTAGCAGTTTGCCCATGATCCGGCGGTCCACCATGCCGTTGGTTTCGGAGCTCATTGCGGCCGCCTGGGCCACTGCCTGGTCCAGTGCGCGACGTAGCATGGCGCACTCGTCCGCGGTCCGGGCCTCCGAGGCGGCAGCAGCGGCCAGGGAGGCGCGAGTCTGAGGAGGAAGCGAGGAGCAGGGCTGTTGTGGGTGACAGGAGGGGGAAGAAGAAGAAGAAGAAGAAGACCGGAGGAAAAAGACCGGAGGAAAAAGGTCAAAGGTGAGCAATGAGAAGAAAACAGTTTTCGTGAGATCGCGCGGATTGCTTACATAGCATGCAGCAATAACGCAAACAGTTTTTTTTATAAAAGCGATTTTAATTATTGCGCTGGCCGGCGCCACCGATGCCGGTATTACGCTGACCTGCGTACCGAAAAAGTCACCACCCCCGAAGGTACCACTACACACTAAGTTACTCGTACGCAGCAGACTCGTACCTTTTGTGCCGCAAAGCACACGCACACACGCCATTGCGTTAATAAGGGGGAACGGTCCGGATTCTGACCGTTAGATATAACGGCCCTCCAATGATGGAGAGTGCTTCGGCGGTCGTTCCCGTTAGGTGCCCCTGGCCAGCGTCAGGCCCGGATCGATATGTAACACATAAACATACATACATACATACATACATACATACATACATACATACTGCTCCCAGTCGACCCAGTCGACCCTGACTTCTGCTCCCAGTCGACCCAGTCGACCCGGGTTCAAATCCGCCTGCCGGCTCCTCGGGTGTTTGAGGAGTGATGAAATGGGAGGTGGCCCCCCATCTTATGGACGGTGTAGGACGTGATAATATCAACTTGCGAGCTGACCAGGAACTAAGTTGATGCGCCGTTGATCCGCTAGATTTGGTTGGATGCTGGTGGTGAGTTGCCGAACCCAACGAATACATTCTGAAGTCGGATGGGGCGACGGATTAGGGTGCCCCTCTAGCAGGGGAGAGCAGGGACTGCCCCGGGAAAGGGGGCCGCTGGCGAAGTTAACCACCCTGTAACAACATACATACATACATACATACATACATACATACATACATACATACATACATACATACATACATACATGCACACGAACCTGCTCCACGAGCTTCTCTGCAGCCTCGCGCTCCGCAGCTACCGCCGCCACCGCCGCCTGTGAAGCCGCCAGCTCCTGCTGTAACCGGGCCACCTTGTTGGCGGCGGCACGCACCTCCAGACGCAGCTTCTCAGCAGCTTCACTCTCGTAGGTCAGCTCCCCCAGCGCCGCCTAAAAGGCGCAGGAACGACACGAAAACGCACACGGCACAAATCAGGAACCAGGCTGTTTTCCTTCAGAGAGAGCGCTGTCAGAGAGAGAGAGAGAGAGGTCCTTCTTCGTTTCCCCCTACGGTCACCAATTCTATTACAGCCGGTTGGAAGGGCGGCAGGCACCTCGTCGAGAAGTAGTGCGCCAGTAGAGGTGCAGTTCAATAGAGGTGCACTGTGCGTTCACATTGTGCGTTTGCGGCACACGGTTTGGAGGTTAAGTTTTCGCCCCACCAACTTTCCGCCAGCTAGTTGCTCCATACCCAAACCACTCTTGCACACACATACACATACACATATACATACACACGCACGCACACACGTTCTCTCTCTCAACACCATTCCCGGCCACTCAGCCACCAGCACCTGGAGGTTGCAGATCTCCGTGTTCTTGAGCTCCAGAGCTTCACTCAGGGCTGCGGTAAGGCATGGAGTTGTGTGGATATGAAGTTAGTCGGACCACACAGGCGTGTGTTTGGACAGTCTGGAGGTCATGCGAGATGATAACACAACACGAGAGATAATAACACCACCACCATATCCCCCCCCCCAAAATGGCAATTAACATGACATCGACATCTACAGCACGAAGCACAGCACGCGAAAGCTTGGCACGTCTGTCCATGCATCCATCCATCTGTCTGTCTGTACTGTTCTGTCTGTCCATAAATCAGGATAATGCAGAACGAAACGAAAGCGGGAGCGGTCATGTGACACGTGACGTGTGTGACGGCCGGCCACGCACCGGAGATCTCCGACTGCTGTCGAGCCGCCGACGCCTTGGCGACCCCCAGCGCCTCCCGGAGCTCCGAAACCGTTCCCGCGAACCGCTCCTCCGTAGCCTTTACCTCCGCCTCCACTCGCCATCCCACCTGTTAGCGCATGTACGTGTGTGCGTGTGCACGCGCGCGCGAACATGGGCCGCGGGAAATCAACGACACGTGGGGTTATGTGACACGCCCGCCAGCGAGAAAAGGCACATACACGACAAAGCAATGGCACAGGAATGCTGCTGGCAAGGACGCATGGACCATGGAAATGTCGGTAAAACGAGGATGACTGTTTCCGGGTAGCCCGCGGCAGCCACACGCCAAACATGGGCTCAGTTAGACTACCCGAATCCATTTGCTGCCCTCAAATATTTCTCAAATATCCAATCCAAGCCTGCGCATCAGCCCGCATCAGCCCGCTAGCCCATCATTACAAACTCGCCTTCTCCTCCTCCTCTTCCTGATCCCGCAGCATTTGCGCCTTCAACCGCACCAACTGGCCCTTGAGCCGCTCTCGCTCCGAATCCGCTGCTGCCAGAGCGGAGCGCAGCTCCGAAACCTCCGACTCCAACGCCGCCAAACCCGAGGAGTTTGCACCGGCGGCTGTGTTTGCTGCGGTGGCGGTGGCGGTGGTGGCGGTTGTGGAGGGGTGGCTGCCGTTGCCTGATACGCCGTTAGCGCCGCCATTGCCGACGGTGGCGACTGCGGCCTCGACGGCCGCGGCCAGTCTGGGCGAGAGTGCGCTCTCCTGCCGGCTTGCCTACCGTTCACCGTAAAGAATGGGGAGGGAGGAGGGGCTACAGCCACTCACTGCGACTGGCTGTGCGGTCATGCCTGTTGGTCATGTCTTACACATTAAAATACATAAGCTTTTACTCACACACATGAATAAATAGAACATCGCCTTTTTCTAGCCGGCTTACCGCCTGTTTTCAGCAGCCTTACAGCTACTTTTGAGCAGCAGCACTTGTGCAACCGCAGCAGCAACAGCATAATCCGCTCATCCTCTATTCCCCTTCAGTAATCCTCGTTCCCCTTATCCCACCTACCGTACGGGGCGTGCCGGACGCTGACGCCGACGCCGCCACCACCGCCTGCATCTCCTCTCGCTGCTGCGCCAGGTGCTGCTGGTACACGTGGCTCAGCTGACGGAGCTCAGCCGTGGCGGCGTCCCGCTCCGCCGACGCCGCCGCCAGCTGAGCAGTGAGGCTGCGGACCTCCAACTGCGCGCGGGAGGCCTCCGAGGCGGCGGAGGCAGAGGAGGCGGCGGCGGACTCCAGCTGGGCCTGTGGGAAAGAGTCGGATGGGGGCGAGGGGGAGAGTGCACGTGAGTGCCTGGGGTGTGTTTCGGGGGTGTCGACAGCAGCAACAATACCTATCAGATACACACCTGCAACCGCCGCGCCTCCGACTGCAACCTCAGCACCTCCGAACGCGCCGCCGCTAATTCCTTCTCCGTATGGCTGTCGTGATCGCCGTACCCATACGCCGTACTATGCTGCGCGCGCTCCAGGGCAGCCTGCAGTGCCTCCATCTCACGGCGCAGGCCGGCTTCGTTGGCGGCGGCGCTGGCGGCGGCGGCGCTGGATTCACGTCGCAGGCGCTCCGCCTCTGCCCGTAGCTCCTGTACGGCGATAACGGTTTACGGCACCAGCACGATACGTGTGCAAACAAAGTTGAAGCAGAAAGGTTTACTTAAAGCGCGTGCATTTAGTTAACTGCTGTTACAAAGCGATTGCGCAACCCAACCATTTCTTTAAAAGATGCATAAATTTTATACTTTTCCACAATTTTCGTTTCATCCCCTCCCATTTCTCCCCTCCCTACCCCCCATCTCAAAATATAAGATTTCCCCCCGTCCCTCCCCAAAAGCAAATACCAGTCAAAGGCCGCCATTCCGACCTGCAGGACCTCCTCATCCCGGGCCACTTGCTCTTGAGCCGCTTTCAGTCGCCGCTCCAGATCTGTGGCCGCCACTGCCCGCTCCGAAAGCTCCCGTTTCCAAAACATATCCCGCTCCTAAACCAACGAAAAAGAGCGGGAGGGCAGGCCCGCGGGCTGTTAATGGATTGGCAGGCTAATGGATAGCCGGGGCGATGGGTGGGATAAAGAAGGGTGGCCAGGCAAGCTGACACGCGTGCAGTCATTGGTGGGTAGGGAGGTTGGTAGGCGGGTAGGGGTACACGACGTTTCCTCGAACAGAATGGAAGATGACCACGGAGAAGAACCACGGCCTTTCTCGTTGCTCACCAGATCTGGCTCAGATGTTGTTGTTATTTTGACACAACACACACACACATACACACACATACACACACACGCACGCACACGCCCACACGCGTACCTGCAAAACTGTCTGCGACCTGTTCGCCTGCTCATCCAACGCATGCTGCAGCTGCGCTACCTGCGTCTGGAGCGCCTTCATGCGCTGCGACGCCGCCGTCAGCTCCGAAACCAGCTCACTGCTACTGCCAACGGCGGCGGCGCTGGCGGCACGCTGTTGCTGCAGCTCCAACTCCAGCTGCTGACGGCCAGATTCGGCGGCATCGAGAGCCTCCTGCAACCTGCAGGCTTGCAGTTGGAAACAATGCCGCGCCGCGGAGACAGGCAGCAGGTTGTGTGTAATGTTGCCATCAGAAGGCATTGTCATGCGCCGTAAAACGTTATCCTATGGACACATTCTGTAACGGTGCCAGCGCCGTGCCGACTTACGCATGAGAGAGTGGACGCAAGAGATGATCCCATTACAAGCTCGGGAATCGAAGTGGGCAACAAGCCCCCCAGGCTTGCTACGAAACCTGCCCCAAAAGCCGACCCAGCTTAATTTTCCCCACGAACAAAACGAAAGGGAAAGTATTAAAAACGATGACTGCTAGCTGGAAGAACGTCCGGGAAGCTCGACCGATTCTTTCAAAGCTGAGCAGTGCCAGGCGGCCACAAACAACCACAGACAGTCACAGATTTCAATGGATGCGCTGCTTACCGCCGCCCTGTCGCCTCCGCATCCGCCGCCTTGTGCGTCAGCTCCTCCCGCGCGCAGGACGATTCCGCCAATTGCTCATCCAAGCGCCGTACAATCTCACGTACGGCGTGCAGCTCCGCCGCAGCGTGCTGGGCAGCCTCGGCAGCTTCAGCACGCTCCGCTGCCGCCTCCTTGGCAGCTCGTTGATACCGCGCCTCCGCTGCTTCAAGCTGGTTTCGGAGCGCCTTCACTTCCGCTTCAGCCGCCGCCAGCTGCTGACTCAGCTGCACGTATGGAACGGCCAAAACTTCATCAAGGAAAAACAATAAATTGAATTTTTAGAAAATAACTGCACTAAAACTACCATAGGTATGCGGTAATAGGAGTATGCGGAGTATGTGGTAGCAGGACATCCAACACCCCCAAACCCATGTTGTAGTCCTCCACACCTGATGCACGCGTTCCGCCTCTGCCGCCGCCGCCTGTTCCCCCACCTTCTGGCGTTCCTGCCGCTCAATCGCCAGCTGGGAAGCCTGGCTTCTCGCCTTCTCGCCTAACAACCGCACCTGCTCCTGCAGCTCCGAAACCTGGAGCGCCCGAAATACGACCGGGCAAGCATACATACATACATACAACCAAACAGACAGACAGCCGAGTGTGGGTTCCGGGAGGTAAAGAAGCGGGCGGAGAGCAGTTGGCTCTTGGGCGAGAGCAGTTGGGCCCAACCGGCCTAGCTCCAGATAAGGGCGGAGCGGCGGAACAAGAGAGAGAGAGAGAGAGAGATGCGCGTAAGACTGAGCAGGTACTACAAGACAGTGTCTGATAAGCTTGATAACCCGAAAACACGATAACCGAAGCCGAAGCAGGAGGCAGTAAAGACAAGCAAAGGGAACGTACCGCAGATCCCCAAACTGGACAACGCCAATGCCAACGACCTTCCAGGACTTTTCTGATTGCCTCCTTTCCCTAGCCATTCCCTGCCATCCACCTGCGGAGCTGAATTTCGGCTCACCTCGGATTCCGCCTCGGCCTGCCTTCGCTGCAGCTCCCGCTGTAGCTCTTCTACCTGACTCCGCAGATCTGACTCCGCCTCCGCCGCGACAGCGGCGGCGGCAGCGGTGGCAGCTGCTGCCTCCGCCGCCGCCAAGCGTTCTGTCAGCGTGGCGACCTCTGCCTCCCCCGCCGCTGCCCGCGCCTCCGCCGCCGCCAAGCGGTCTGCCAACGCGGTGATCTCTGCCTCCGCCTCCGCTGCCCGCGCCTCCGCCGCCATACATCGCCGAGACGCTTCCTCGGCCTCGGCGGCTAATGACGACGCGCCATGGCTCGCCTGATCCTGAGGCAAAACGTAATTCACGTCACGTAATTTGTTAGGTAGGTGCCCGTGTCAAAATTGGAGGTATTGGAGGTCTTGGAGGTATGTGCGCCCATTCGTGGGGAGTCTCGGGAAAGAAGTAAGGGCCGCCCTGTGAAGAGGAACGGAATTCCGACCTCCCATGAGACGAGACGTCCTTCGACCCCTCCCTTGACATCTCCAGCACTCCTACTCTCTCCCTCTCCCTCTCCCTCTCCCTGTGTGTGTGTGTGTGTCCCTCTCTCTCTCTCTGTGTGTGTGTGTGTGTGTCCCTCTCTCTGTGTGTGTGTGTGTCCCTCTCTCTGTGTGTGTGTGTGTGTGTGTGTATGTGTGTGTGTGATACACCACCTTCCGAAGTTAATGCGCTACCCTAACCCTAAGGTGCCGCAACCAGAGCCCCCAACATACGAGCCGGATCTCCTTAAATCTCTAATGGCCCTAGCTTGTTGCAGGCGCACGAACGAGTGTCATCTTACTGCCGGTAAATGCTAGCGAGTTTTGTTAGCCCCAAAACCGCAAGAACTCCGGCTTATCTATCCTGGTGAAAAATAAACAGCAAACTAGTGAATTGACTCCCTGCCACCACCGGCTGCCACCCTCTCCTGACCTTGATCTCTTGCAGCTCCCGTTCGCGAGCCGCCAGCTCCGAGACCAGCCGCGACACCTCGCGCTTCGCCGCCTCCGTTGCTTCCCGTAACCGGTCCTCCGCTGCTGCCTCCGCCGCCGCACGCGACTCCGCTGCCGCCACCTCGGTCTCCGCGCGAAGCTTTGTCTCCGCTTCCGCAGCGGCATCCGCAGCCCGCGCCTCCGCCTCCGCTGCGTGCAACTCCGCGTCCGCCAGCCTCGCCTGAAGCTGCCGAAGCTCTTCCTCCGCTTCCGTCACCCTAGCCCGCGTTGCGGCATGCGCCGAGCGCTCTTCCTCCAGCTGCTTCCGGTGCTGCAATCCAAACCGCTGCTCGTCTTCAAATAGCTCCTTCATCATTTCGAGCTGCTCGCGCATGCTTGCTAGAGGGCCATCGTCGCCATCGGCGTCGGCAGCCGCCGCCGCTGACGTCGCAGCGGCGGCGGCGCGGGCAGCCGTCGCCGCAGCCTCGGCGTCCGCCGCCCGCGCCTCCGCCGCCGCTAACGCGACGCGATGCGCGTCCCGCTGCTCCTCCAGCTGCCGCTCAAGCTCCGCCAACCGGTTTTGGAGCTGCGTGGCGGCTTCGCCGTCGGCGACGCCTCGCTCCGAAGTCGTCCGCAGCTCCTCACGCAGCTCCGCCAGCGCTGCCTGCGCCTCCGCTAGCTCCTGCCGCAATCCTGACTCCAACGACATGACGCCGGCCGCCCGCGCCACCGCCTCCGTCGCCCGCGCCACCGCCTCCGCCAGCTCCGCCTGCAGTGCCTCTGCCTGCGACTTCAGCTCCGCCGCAGCCGCCTCCGCGGCCAGGACCTCCGCCTCCGCCTCAGCCACACGAGCGTTAGCAGCGTCCGCCCTCGCGGTCGCAGCTGATAACGCAGCTTCGGCAGCGGCGGCGCCGGTCGCCGCCGCCTCTGCGACGATCTGGTCCTTAGTAACCTGATCCCGTACTTTCCGAAGCTCGGCAGCGGCCTCCGCCGCCGCCGAGCGGAGCTCCTCGGCATGGCGCGCTTCCGCCGCTTCCGCAGCATGCCGGATATCTGCCAATTCTGCCGTCAAGGCAGCGGCCCGGCACTCGGCCTCGTCAGCCGATTGCCGTACCGCCGCAAGCTCCGCCTCCAAAGCAGCGGCCCGGCACTCCGCTTGTTCCGCCGCTGTTTGCGATGCTGCCCATTGAGCCTCCAGCGTGCCGATACGGGCCATGGCTGCCGCAGCTGCTTCCGAGCTGGCTACGTCCACCTGCGGTCCGTGCGCCAAATAAAGCCAGGACGCGGGCCAGGTAAAGCCAGGACGTGGGCCAGATAAATCTAGGACGCAGGCCGAGCAACATAAACCCCTATCATTAAAAACCGTTACCATTACCGGAGCTCAGTGGATGGGAGGTCATTAAATCAATCACGAGGCTAGTTTGGCGATGACGCGAACCGCTACTGGTTGCTACGATGGGCGAAGCTCTCATGTGGGATGTGGGGGCTGATGTCGCGGTGTGCGTTATACACATATTCAATACATATCGATCTTTCGCACCGTGGATTCATCTTCCTGTTGTTGTTGCTGCTGTTGTTGTGTCTGCAGCTGCTCAACCATGGCCTCCAGCTCCCTGACACGTGACTGCGCCTGGAATCAGCCGGTGCGACCCAACAAAATAGCATCGGGGAAAGAAGGGCAAGACGAGACGGAGGCCGCAGACGGAGACCGCAGACGGAGACCGCAGACGGAGACCGCAGACGGAGGCCGCAGACGGAGACCGCAGACGGAGACCGCAGACGGAGACCGCAGACGGAGGCCGCAGACGGAGGCCGCAGACGGAGAACGCAGTTGCGAGGGCGAGGGAATGTGACAGAGCGGAGATCGGAACAGCAGCGAAAGGTCATGGAGGGGTGACAGGAGGGCGCACCCAGGGGGACGGCACTTGCAGAGGACTCCGGGATTGGCAGGGCGGAGGTGGAGAAGCCAGGCAGTGACCAAATGAAGGACGGATGGGGAGGAGGTAGCAGCAGAGGAAACTCGGGGTGGCCGGCATCCCCTCTCGCCCTGCGCTTACCTGCGCTGCCGCTGCGCGCTGCTGCTGCAGCTCCGCTTTCCAAAAGGAGTCATGTTGCGCCACGTCAGCAGCGTCACTCTCCAACTGCTGCTCCAGCTGCGGGGACCATAAGTACACACAGATGGGTGGATGGAAGGATGGAAGGTTGGATGGATGGGTGGATGTATTTATGGGTGGATGGAAGGATGGAAGGTTAAATGGATGGATGGATGTATTTATGGGTGGATGGAAGGATGGAAGGTTGGATGGATGGGTGGATGTATTTATGGGTGGATCTATGGAAGGTTGGATGAGTGGGAAAATTAGGAATCAGCAGAAGAGCTGGGAAAAGAAAACGTCCAACAGTCCTCTTGCTTGGGCAGACCCCCGACATTGTCGGGAGCGTGAGAGGTTATATGGCTAGCTGCTGAGATGTGGAGTTGAGGTCACAGTTGATGGACCGAGATTCGCACACTGGATTGGTGGCGACTGCCGAACCCTCTGTCTCCACGGATGTTCGGTTTGGGCGAGAGGATGAGGAAGGATCCAAGAAGGCAGAATCAACCGCCCTGGACTTGCAGTTCGGGTATGGCGTAGTGCAGTGTGGTCATGGTGTGTAAATGGTATTCAATCCTAGGTATATGACAATCTAAATGTGGCGTTCCATTGCCCAAGGAGCCTCCCACTCTGTAACAATAACACATGCACCCTAAGCTCTATATAAAACCCTAAGTAATATATGTAAAACCCTATGTTATAGATACAACCTACGTTATATAAAAAAAACCCAAGTGTCTGCACAGACCTACACAGCCGCTCACAAACCTGCTGCACTTTGGCTGTGAGCCTGTCCAGCTCCCGCTGTGTGGCTTCATGGGCCTTTTGCTCTGAAGTCAGCTCCTGACGCAGCAAAGCGGCGGTCTGAGACTGGGCCTGCATGGGCGCACAAGCCGACACACGCACCGCCCCCCCCCCACACGCAAACAAACAATACAAACATGGGGCAGCAGCAGCAGCGGCAGCAGCACCATTAACAACGGCGAATTGTAGTAGACTGCGGACTGCAGGTGACATGGCAGAACATGGCAGGGCCGTCCCTGTCCCCCACCCCAATCGTGTGTGGTTCGTCTTTCCCCCACCCCATCCCATAAATTCCCCCAAACGCCTAGCAGGCGCAGAGTCGTACCTGCAGGAGCTCGGCGCTGTCCTCCGCGTCTTCGAGCGCCCGTTTCATCCTTGCAACCTCCCCGGCCAGCGACTCGTTCTCCATCGTCACCTCAATCAGCTGTTGCTTCAAAAGCTCCATCTGGGGAGTCGAGAAGGTTTGAGCAGTGAGAGCATCAGCTTTGAAATCACGAACGTAGCAGCCGCAGCGGCAGCATTAGCACCCAGGCCTTTACTAAGAACATAAACATACCCTGTATAAATATCCTATAAAACTTGTTGCGTTGTATTGTACTACTAGGTCCCTCAACCTAACTTGTGGATCCTAGCTAGGCTCTTGGGCCTCTGCGTGCTCGTGTAGGGGCTGGCTAGTTACACCTCTCTGGCTGGGTAACGCAACCGAGGTGTAATAAGTACACATATATATGTATATATGTGTATAATACATGTTTGTATGATGTGTGGAACAGGGGGCTATACGGTGGCCGCTACCAGGGGATACCCTGCCTTCCCCGGTATTTCGGGGCACCCTCATCTAGTCACCCTAATCAACAGGGAGATCACTCTGCCAGCTTAATCTTCCCTTGGTCATCCCAGAGCCCACAGGACTTGTGTGGGTCTGCTTCAGGAGACAATTCGAAGCGTCCGAGAGTACTTACCCGTACTGCTCGCAAGGCCTCCCCCTCTCCACCTGTCATCCACTCTTCCTGCCCTCTCCGTCCTCCTCATATGCCCCTGTGTTCCTTTCTCCCCCTAGCCGCCCTTCCGTTTCCTTCCCTCGCCCTGCTGTATGCCCCCCCTCCCGTCCCTCCGCATCACTGCCTCTTCCTTCCCCCTCTCTTCCGGCCTTACTCCCTCCCTTCCTTGCGCGGACCTGCGGCTTCTGTTTAACGCTAACGGCCGCCTCCTCCGCTCCCGCCACGTGCGTCGCCACCTTTTGGAGCACGTTCGTGGCTGACGTGAAGAAAGACATGGTGGTCGTGGCGGAGCCCAGCATGCGACCCACTCCAAGGCCCATACCGCCGGGTGAAGCCCCTCCCACTGAGCGGCCTGGCATAGCGCCGCCGCCGCTCCCGTCCGAATAGGCATGGCCATCCGGTAGAGCTGTGTCCGTGCTCCCGTCTCCGGGGAAGAATTTCATGGGCATCACAGACGAGGGTGCGGCTGCGTCCACCGCGTTGCTGACATGGAGATGATGCGCAGTCGCGTTGTCGGTGGCGCCAGCAAGGACGGGTGGATTGGGGGCGTGCACGACGATTGGGACAGCAGCTTCGCCTGCGTTCGAACTAACAGGTGGCAGCTCCCCAATGCTACCAAAGTCAGCCTCCTCAAGCGAGTCTTTTTCATAGAAAGGTCCGTGGCTGTGCCTGCAATTTGGGGAGGGTCGGCCCGAAGCAGTTGCGTTTTAGCGCGGGATCAGCAAAGGACCCGCATCTTTTGTCGCACCTCGTATACGTCACGGCCGCACCGGGGTCATCGTAATCCTGCGATCATGTCATGCAGTTTGTTCCTTAAGCTTGTGGATTCCCCGATAACAGGTTACGGCTAAATTGAGAGCATGGATAATCAAACAGGCCGCTATCCGGGCACAGTTGCTTGGCAGCACCTGATCATTTGGGTCTTGCTCATCAAGCAGGACACTTTTTACATTGGAAGCCAAGTTTTGAGCGCGAGAAGCTGCTCCAGCGATAACGCCCCACATTTTGCACGTCTATGACATCTGAATGAATTCAGAGATTGAAAATATAAAGATCTTATGCATTAAACCTAGCAAGGGTCGGTAGTACTTTAGCAGGATGAAAAACAGCCTTGCAGCGCTTTCTGAGCTTAAGCTTTGTGCAGCGAAATTTTAGATACTATTCAGCATCAGCGTCACCATATACAAAGCTATGACACTGTGCCAGGTATCAGACCTTGGTGCTGGCAGTCTTCGCCCTACGTGAATGTTGCACGACGCTGGAGTCTTTGGCCGTACTGATACTCTTTCGATGCTGTAACAAAGTTCCAAGTGATGATCGCATAGGCTTACGATAGACACCCAAAGCGTTGTTCCAGGACTCGCTGTCCTTGTGCCTGCTGGCCTGAACCTAATCGCACCCTTCGGGAAATGACTCTCGAGAGTTTGCTTGCGCGACGTACACAGTCTTTAGTACATCCGTTTCATCATCCAACGCGATGTCCGAGCGCTCGGCCCCGAGTCTTGCTAGGACGGCGAACATCGGTCAGAGCGACGACTCCGGGGTCTGAGGCTACGATACTCATCCCAACAAACTCGAAGTCATGTAGCCGAGACTATACACAACCGCCCTGCTGGATTCCGCCCCTTATCGTTTTTGGAGTGGCGACGCTTTTCTCAGCGGTCATCCTCAAGAACAGGCAGCGGAAATCCGCCGTTACAGAGACGGATCAGGTGTTACCGGTGCCTCCAAGTCCACAACAGGACCCGCGCAGCTATCAGCGCGCGTTGGCGCGCACTCGGCAGGCTGCAGCCGTTTCGAAGGCCCTCGCTTTCCTCAAGACGGGCGAGCCAGCGCGCGCCTACATGGAACTCGGACGAGCGCTCTCTGAAAACAGCATCTGCCGCTCTCCCCTCTTGGATGGCCACCACACAAAGGCCGAGCTCGTGGAGCTCTACAAGCTGCACCTGCAGAACGCCGAGGTGCCACCCAACTTCGCCACGTTGCTGCAGCTGCAGGAAATGCTTGGCCTAAACCAAGATGAGGCGGAGAAGATTGAGCTCGAAGTGATGCAGGCGCCGGGATCATTCAGCATATAGATTACAGCAGGCTCCGTGACTACGGGCATCCCGAAACTAAGCCAGTCAAAAACCCTCAAGGACCACGAGCTGCGAGGGCTGGTCAGTCGGTGGGTAGTCACTCGCGTGGGGTAGTCAGTCGCGTGGGGTAGTCAGTCGCGTTTACATGTATCGCGTATGGCAGGTGCGCCGTTTCACACAGCGTCGGCCACGTACGGGCTTGCGGTTGTGCGCTGCATGCTGCGCTTAGCTGCTTGGCATGCGTGACGAAACACGCCCTCCTGACTCACGGGCGGTGCTGCTGAGTTGCCAAGCATGGGGCTCTGCAGGGACGTGACCCGATGCGGGTCACAACAAGGGCGCCCCAACTCAAGTGTCAAGACGCCGCGAGCACATGCGGGGTGGGGGTTGGGGGTTGGGGGGGTAAGGAGCGAGGTGTTGTGCACCCCACCGTAACGCCCGGCAGGAGGTGAAAAGAAATCATAGGAAAACACCACAATTGTTTCGTCCTTCTTTGCTTCACGCTGGCTGCTTCCCTGAATTTTGTGACGGCGACGGATTCAGCTGCAGGGGGGCCTCCTCTGAGGATAGAAGGAAGGAAACGCCTTGTATCCTCGAAGTTGCTGCTGTATAGCTATCGGTCCCATCATTTTCCGTTTCGGAGCTGCTGCTGCTGCTGTTATACTGTGCTGTCGTTGCCCTTTCCCGCAAGCCAACCTTTCATTTTTGCCTTCTTGAGAAAGGAAAAATATAGTCGTCCAAGGGGGGTTAGCGTCCAAGAAGGGTTGTGTCTTTGCTGAGGATGAAATTTGGTGCCGCTAACGGCAACAGTTCCATGCAAGACAATGGGCTTTGCGATGGGGCTACGAAGTAGAAGTGGAGGCTTGGAGAGAGAAGAAGGCGGATGAAGCCTTCGGCATTTTTTTCTCTTGACTTGGTGTTGGTGGTGAGGGAAGAAGAGAGAGGGATTTGGAGGGCGCGAGTCGCACAGTCTGCGCCTGTTGTTGCTCCTGTAACTGCGCTAGCTAGTACGCTTGTCTGCTCGGCATAAGGCCCTGTCTCTATCCCCAGGGCGGTGTAACCGTAGGATGGCTTGCAATGATTGTGTTGAGCTGGTCTCGTAGCGCTTTTTGTTGCACGCGACCTTGATTTCGTCCTCTTGCGCTGCCAATGCTATGTCGGTTTTTTACAAAAGGTATTTGCTCGGTGTTTCAGGTTCCGCACTCAAGTTTCGGGAAGAAGGGACCCGTCCGTAAAAGCCAGTGCAGTGAAAGCCAGTGGGGTTGGGGGCCCTACGGACGACGGTGAATAGCCCCGTTATTGTGTGGCGCTGAGTGAGGGGAGGGCGTCGACGTCCTCTCCCGCTCTCGCCTGGCCGCTTGGCGCGCCTGATCGCGATGTGCCTGTTGGTGGTGTCCTGCGGATCTCGCAGAACTCGTTAAAACATCATTTCTGTTGTCTTGAGATGTTCCACACAGTTCGGGTTTTTGGCTTGGATTTTGGGGGCCGCGTTGTTGAGGCGCGGCGCGGGTTTATTTTTGTTGCGGAATGTACGGCGACCTGCGAGTAATTGTTGTAGCAGCGTTTGAGGAATCCTCTGCTGGCGTCTGGTACTTGTTTCTCTTCTTGTGTATTCCTCGCAGCAGGTCTGGAGTCATTGGTTATAGAAAGCACTGTTTTTCCTCGTTTCTTTTTTGTCATTTTGATGATGATGCCACTACACGAGCTCCAGGGAGGGGTCGGGCGTGTGAGAGAGGGGCTGGGCTAGACCTTACACAGGGAGGGAGTAGGACACACGTTCTATATTCTAGTCAAAGCACAAACTGCCGATGCCTGTGGGAGGGTAAGCAATCGCCGGGAAGGCGGGTAGCAATGCAGCTCATTTCTTGGGCGGTCTTGGTCCCTTGTTCTGTGCTGTGTGCAGGACAAAGGGGAGGGTGGGAATATTGGTGCAGCAGGTTGTGAAGACACGGGGGAAAGAGGGAGTACATGGATCCCCGCCATAGGTATGGCACATGCAGAAGGGCAGGGTACTGGAGTTGCGGTCTTGGGGCGTTAGGAATGTGCTTGGTGAGTGATGAGAGGGTTACTAGACACTCGTCCGTGCATGGGACTGGGAGGGAGGAAAGGGCGGGACCGCTTTGTTGACTTGGGTTTTACCCTCCTCCCACCTAGTGCTGCATCAGAGCTTTTTATGTCCCTTTTCCCACTCTTTAATTCGCAGTGCCTGTCGCAGCTGTATCGATGAAGTTGGAATATGCTTGTTGTAAGATCAGCGCAAAGGGAAGGATGAGTAGGGCTGTGGTGCGGGTTGCTGGAAGTTTGGGAACGAAGACACAAGTGTGGCGTGGTGGCTTTTGAAGGGCTTGGTTAGCTAAGGGTTTTTAATCCACGAGGCTTTTGCAATTTTTAGCTTGCGAGTGAGCAACTTTTAGGGGTGCAGTGCCATTTGGAATGGTGGTCGTATAAACCAGCCAGCCAGTACGGTGTAATTTGTTGGTGCCAGGCCTGTGTAATGCCGTACTGTGTACGTTTTGGTGATGTCTTTGTGCCTCTGGGGTCTTGGCTGGCTGTGCACTTGATGTGGACTTTGGTGGTAGGCTTTTACGATGCCGTTTTGTATTTGAATGCATCGCATTTTTTCATATTGCTGCAAGTATGCTGGTGGTGGTGATGACGGTGGTGATTACAAGACATGATGTTGTATCCTGTAGGGCGTATCACGGGATCTGACATCCGTCGAATCGGTACTTTTCTGTAGTCGTGTGATATATAACACATGAGGTGTCGCAGAACCCCTTCGATTGACTTCATGAATCGCCTCTGTCTGTCTGCAATCTGCAAGTCGTGTATTGCCTAAAGCTTCGCCAATTAAAACATGTATGTAGCATTATGTGGAAATGTAAGGAGCCCGGTCAGCCGGGCGCAGGTGCGAGTGCATGTTGTGCGAGCTTGAAAGACCGTACACTACCTACGACTATCAAAGAAATCCTTATAACGAAGGTATTCCAAGTCGAGATTGTTACCATTTAACCTTATTGTTGGGTGGTCAGATGGAACTCACCAAGGTGCAAGATAATTATTAAACTGTATGTTAAGAAGGTTTTGATTCAGCAGTCCGACGAGATCGGGGATCGGGTTGTGTGCGATGAGCTAAACATGATATGATCATGATCATATTAGAAAAAATATGGCAATATGCATAATGGATTTTTCGTATCCACAAGCTATCTAGTGATTACGTGGTCATGTGCGTGTTCATGGCTTTCGCAAACATTTAACTTAGGCTGGGACTTTCATTCGCATGGTAGTGTAGTTGGGATAGTTTGCATCTGTGATCCTTTATAAACTTATTTGCTGGTTTCGGCGCCTCGCACAACGGTGAGTTTAAGCCTTCCAATGGTCTTTCATTGGACTGTATCACGCGCACATCGAACTTTTCAAAGCATAAGGGGACCGAGTCAACAGCAGTGGTCGGTAGCGGCTAGCGAGGCTGTGGGATAGTTAGATGGACGCAAGGATGGTGTGTGGTGCTATTATAGGCGACACCTCACATGCGTCCGGAATTGAAATCAATAACCTCCCAAAACTTTTAAAGTTGTTCCTCAACGGTCTGTTCTTCGTCCGGAACGAAGCTCCTTGCGGCTGCAGCAGAGCACGTCTGTTACCATCGAGCCTGTTTAAGAACCTCTCCACTTGTGTGGTGGGACCAAAAGACCCCGAGTGATGGGTAGTGAGCCGTCTCATTGACCGCTCACCGACGGAAGTACGGCGAAGCGCATCAGATTGCGGGAAGGCCTTATGACGAAGGCCAAATTACACCGACGAACGATAACGAATAAGCGAATGAGAGTAATGTAACAGCTCATGCTCGTTACATACTTCCCCTCCTAATTGACTGGTCGTCCCGACAGCCGACTTATCCACGCCCCCACGCTTGCGCATGGAAAAGCAGAGTCGCAGGCACCCCACTGGCAGTAGACATAGTCCGAAGAAATGCATAGAAAACGAGAAGGCTTACATACGCCTCTTCCAGATCTGGTTTTACGAACGTCCGAGTCTGAGGACGGCGAGACAACAGGCGTGACTCCTGGTTTAGGTTGGGACGCGGAGGTAGCAGCTTGTTGTAGGCTTCAGACGACACAACCACATAATGGGGGCATCGAAAGATACCGATTGCAACAAGTGTCTTGAATAAATCGTCACCAGTGACTCCACTTGGGCCTCGCGCCGATAAGAATCCCCAGTACGACTGGGCGGCGCGGTATCCAGAAGCCATAGTTCGCAGGAACTACTCTCGCTCGGTCAGACGAAACTGGGGACGCAGGTCCCAGCTTTACGTAGGTAAAACCCCCGCCCATACACAGGTATGGACTTCCGCAGCGGTGCGGCATTAAGGTGGCGGACGACTTGTTAGTCGCTTTAGCCGCCTGCAGCTAACAGTAGCCGCAACGCGCCCATATGCAGATATGGACTTCCGCAGCAGTGCGGCACTCGAATGGCGGACGACTAACAGTAGTCGCTTTAGCTGCCTGCGCCCATAGACTTCCGCAGCAGTGCGGCACTTGAATGGCGGACGACTAACATTAGTCGCTTTAGCCGCCTGCGCCTATGGACTTCCACAACGGTGCGGCATTTGAATGGCGGACGACTAACAGTAGTCGCTTTAGCCGCCGACGCCCATGGACTTCCGCAGCAGTGCGGCATTAAGGTGGCGGACAACTAACAGTAGTCGCTTTAGCCGCCGCAGCTAACAGTAGCCGCAAGTAAACTAATAGCAATATTAGTCAAAACCTGTAGTAACCGACAGCGGAATTTACGGGTGTTAGTTAGTAACATAAGAGTTCGGTAAATCGAAGTGGACGAGATAACCACCGACAGTTATTATTCGGAGCCCAAACCGTTGCAGAAAACCTTTACAGGATACAACACAGCTGTTTTACGTGACTGCCAATACGAACGCAGCAAATCTGCACAATTAGTCAGGTTCGACTCTGGTTCCCAAGAGTCGTACTCTGGACCTTGATTCCTCCAACGCATTAGAAAGAACCGAGTGCGACGACGCTTTTGTGTCACGTCACGATGATCAAGGACTACCTCAACCTCGAATCCCAATTCACCATCCACAATCTCAGGCTGCGGAGATGCGATTGTTACAGTGGACCCCGAACGGGTCGAGTGCAGCGCCCATAGGAACGCCTCCCGCACAACACTGTGGGCCTTATTCAAAAAGAACTCGGCCAGGCCGTACTAACTTCACTGGACACACGGCCTCAGTTAGTACGCTTAAACAAAAAATTGAGGCTCCGACGTGCGCCCTCAAACTTCGTCATTGTATATCGGTAAACGGCAAGCAACCATGTCTGCGTCATTGACATATAAGAAAGGGTGATTGTGAGGTACATGATCCCAATGTTTTGGCAAGTAATCCCGTGCCGCAAAAGCAGTTAAACGGGCCCAAAAGTCAGAGATAACCTCGTATGTAATGCGGTTAAGCGATGGCGTTGATATAGGCATGTTGGTCTGGAGACCTTCCTTAAACAACAAACGGCGACCGAGATTGAGTGAGCTGATGGCCGCGAGGCATACAACCTCCCATACACACGAACAAATCCAGGTTGGTGGAATGCCCAACCACAGGTTAGCCCGGTTGAAAAGGTCAGGGAACTCAAGTTCGTTTTGCAGAGCTTCACGAAGAGCCAACGCGACAGTACAATCCCAGAAATGATGCCGACGATCCCCACAAAGCATGCGTACACCACAGGGGCACATAGCAGCCGGGATACCTCTTTGACGTTGCGCCCTATGCATAGGAAAGGCAGGGAAACCATCAAGAGCCAGCCTCCAAAAGGCTTCTTTATGCTCGTTATCCCACCGA